AAATAACTGCAAACTTAAAGAAAAACTGTCAAAACAGTACAAAGAAATCCTGTACCCCTTCACCCAAAGATTCTCCAGTCATTAACATTTTACTGTGTTTGCTCCATTGATATTTATTTACCCCCATTATTGCCATTCCTTTTCTGAGGCTTTTGGAAACAAGCTGCAGATATGATGTCTCATCACCCCTAAACGTTTACTGCATGTATGCTCTCCCCTCTCAAAACAAAACAAAACAACAACAACAAAAAAAAACAAGGACATCCTTCTCTATAATCAGCATACAAGTCTACAATCAGGTAATTAACATTAGTACAAACTAATGTCTAATTCACAGACCATACTGAAATTTTGCTAACTGTCCAACAATTCTCTGGCCTTTTCAATTTAGGATCTTATCTAGCAATAAAGGTTTCTTTTAGTTGGCATGTCTGTTCTGACTGTTTCAATGTGAGTGTGAACCATATAAATGTTCACTGTGTGATAAATCAATGGCCTGGGCACCTTAGTTTTGTGCATTGTTCTGTGTGTATATTTCTCAATAAAAATGTTAATTTTTAACGAAATGCTTAGTTTTTAAATAGAAAACTAATCACATCGATATACTGCAAACATAGTATTTGCTTCCAGAATCCAAATTTCTGCATAAATCCTTTCTTAGCCAGCCATATATGTAAAGCCCAGAAGTTTAAACTAATTTTGAAGCAGTGATTAAAAGAGTGAAAAATCACCTTACCAAGTAGCAGATGCCAAGAGAGAGCCAAACCTCCCAAAATGGATTTTTATTGGGACCCCTACCAGCATATCCCTACAAAAAAATTCATTCCCCTCTTAATTTATATGGTCACTTAAATATGGAATAGTTGTTCTCATTCTAAATAAAGGAGCTATATACATTCATATTTTGATCAAAGATTTTAGTTGAAGGTGTTAAAAAACAAAATTCAACTCAATAAATTTGAACATCTAATTGGCTTTAATTAAGCAATTCATGAACCAGGTAGCATCCTATCTAGCAAACTGAGAGATGCTCTGAGGAGTTGTATAAAATTGAAGATTTTTACAGGAAGGAGGTTGGGGCAAGAAGTTATTAGCAAAAGGAAAGAAAGAATTGTTTCTGGAAAAGTCTCTTTCCCTTCAGGGGGAAAGATAGAAGGTCTTAACCTGCAGATTATCTCATCTGCCTTTGGTGGTGTAGTTCGGGGAAAGGATGGAGAGGGCCCAAGTAACAGGTTACCTAATTGGGGCTGACCAGAAAATTCCAGATTGATTTGCTTAAAATTCCACTCCTAGAAAGGTTGAAATTGTAATGAAGTCTTGGTTTGCTGTCCTGGGGGTTAGTGACTCCACCTTAGGTCTGTGGTTTTCTTTTTAACAAAGGTATAAAAAAATGACAGACTAAATTTATGAGATATATTGCTAGACTAATCCATTTTAATATAAGAGTGGATTTTTTTTCTGACCAAAAAGACAGAGGTAGAATTTTTTAGTGGCCCTGACAGCTGCTTTTGCAGATCATTTCCAAGGGATGTTTTTTGAAATGCAGCTTCTGGAAAATCCACTTATGATGGACTGGCTCAATGATTTGCCTTGTTGCCAATGCCAGAACACGGCGCTAGGGTCTGGCCCATACCAGGTGCTCACGGGTGTGTGTGTTGGGGTGGGGGTGGGGGGAACATATGCATGCCCACTTGCTGAGACTGGGGCGGCAGCAAACCTGAACTGAGGAAGGAAGTTAATGCCAACCAGGCTTAAAATTAGACATGGTCTCTTTCTGGCAGTTTTAGGGATAAAAAGTTTTGCATCTTTATGCCTTAATTATGCAGACCTATTTTCACGGGTACCTTCGGCTCAATTTGATATGCAGACCCGGACAGCACCAAGGGCTTTCCCCCCCCTATCCTTAACTGTATGTTTCTTTAGCTTTAAGCGAAATTGCTTATCCAAAGGAAATACGCCCTTTGCAGAAAGTTGGCCTACAACAAGCACTCTTGCATGGACTTTATTCTTCGGGCTTCACATCCCCACTCCCAACCCCATCGACGGTATTCTAGAAAACCTCCAGTTCACAAAATGTCAAAGGTGAAAACCGTCTTGGAGATCACGTCATAGTCCCATCTCCGTTTTTTCAAGTCAGGAAACTGACCCCAGAGAAGCGTGGGTACTAATCACGGTAATGCCAATACTGACAACACGAGGCCCAGGACCTGGGGTTCCCCGCTCTCGTTCACTGCTCTCTCACCTCCAATATGTGGGGTGGACTTTTCGAATTAAAGAAAAAAAGGAGGAAATATTGTCCAATGCCGCTTTCAACCATAGATATTGCCCCCAACGTTCCCAAATAGCGTGCGTTGGCAACCATGGATTTCATTACCCTTTAATTAAGGAACTAGAAAGAACCAAACTCGCAGGGAGCCCTAACTGCAGAACTACCTGTAATTTTTAAAGAATTTTAAAAGCAAAACAAAACAAAACAAAAAAAAACGCCGTTAGCATCTGCCTTCAACCTTGTGTGTAGTACTAACTCCGCTCTCTCACTTCTTCACTTTCAAAACGACCCACGCCAACGAGGGAGGCTGGGACGCCAGGAGAGGAAAGTGAAGAGGGAAAGGCCAGTGGGGGTTCCTGGGGTGGCGCCCACCGAGGACTGGCCCGGGAGCCCCAACGCGGGCGGCTGTGCGCACGCGCGCGGGTCGGCGGCGGCAGCTCGCCCGCACCCCGCTTCACTCTGCTTTATTTAGCCCTTTAGCTCAGCCTCCTCCCACACCCCCAACGCCCCAAGTTCAGGATGACAGCGGATGGGACGGGGGAAACCCCAAGGCATCCTCAGAAAACGAGGTTTTGGGAAGATCCGGGGTTCGTAGTGAGCAGGAGGAAGGCAAGGAAGTTAAGGGCAAAAATCTTAAACCGCCCCCAGCTGGGTTTCCGCAGAAGTCTGAGACGCCGACGCAGCAGCTCTGGGCGGGCGGGAGGGCAGGAGACTGGGCAAGCTGAACTCGCGGGACTCCGAGGGGAGGGGCGGAGCTGGGGGCGGGGCCTGCTGCCCCTCCCTTGAGACCCCGCCCCTCGGACCAACCTTCCGCCTTGCCATTGGAGGGCATCGGGGGCGGGTCCGAGGGACACCCCCCTCTCGCCACCGGCCCCCGCCCCGCCCCCTGCCCGCCTACGCCTTCGGCCCTTCCAGGAGCCTCCGAGCACCAGGAAAGGAAACACCCGGGCTGCCACAGAGCCCCTGGACGCTGGAAAGGCGGGCCCCCCAGCCATCCAACCCCGCCGGCCTGGTGTCGTCACCAGGGGTGGAGCTACGTGGCTCCGCCCCGGGGCCTGGACCAGTGCCCCCACCTCGGAGTCTGCGGCTCCCGCGGGACGCGGGGAAGCGGCCGCCCTGTGCAGAGGCTCCACGTCACAAAGTGCTGCAGTCAGTACCCCGCACTCCCCTTCAGCCCCTCACTCTCCACAGCATGTCCCACCCCTCTTTTTTTGCCCCTTTCTCTGACTTTGAATCTCCAAATGTCTGAGAGAGTGTGGGGACCCGGAGATGGGAGCGCAGATGGCACGCTGCCTGAAGAAGTAAATCCGATTCGATTATCTCCTTAATCCGTTTGCATTTCTACTGCCTATTTAATATCTCGATATTTTCTCGTTTGTTTTTGGAAGATTTGGGGGGGTTTTTTTTTTTCCTTTTTTTTTTTTTGGTTTTTGTTTTTTGTTTTCTCTCTTCAGGGACTTAAAGTTGGCCGATGCCTTCTGTAGCTTTTGATTTTAAAAACTGGGATTTAGTCATCTTTTCGTGCAGAAGAGAAAGAAACCAAAGCCTAGCGGCCTTTAGAAAGGAAATAACCCTGTTTGTGTTTCATTCTTAACTCAAGCTGTCGTCGTTAGCACCTTGCACAGAGCACAGACGCAGCTGCAGAAGCACTCCGTTGCAGAGTAGGCTGCGTCTACGCCGGGTTTATGCCTGAGCATCAAAAGACAGTGCAGGTGTATGTGGATGTGGGTGTGCGTGTGCGTACGTGATGTACGTGTGTGCGTGTGTGTACGTGTGTGTGTGGCTCAACAAATAACCCCAAGAGGCGCATCAGGATCAGAAAGAGCCCCGCATACTATCAATGGCCTAGGAAATTTCCTAAAGCTTTGAGAGTTAGTAAATCTCTACTATCCGAAAATCATCTTTGCAGGGGCTCGTTTCTCCGTGCTCTCCTGTCCCCCCAAACAGGTGTCTCTGTGTCTCGTGAATCGGCCTCACGCCGGCTGGGGCGTCCAAAGTGGTGAAATTCACAGAGGGCACACGGTGTATATTTCAAGGGCCCCACGTGTGCGGACCAAACCCCTGGGGCCTGGGCGTGTGCGCGCGCTCCTGTGCAGTGTGAGCGAGAGGGCACGGGGGCGCTCGGCTTGCGGGCGTGCGCGACTGTGTGCGTGAGTGTGTGCTCACGCGCTCTAGGCTGCGCCCAGAGCTCAGCTGCTGGGTTGGAGAGAAAGAGGGTAGGCAAGTGCAGAGGGCAGGAGGCTGAGGGGGGATGTCGAATTAATAGAGCTGCTTTTGCTGTTTTCCCTCTCGCGTTCTTGCTCGTTTAAACCCCACAGCAACGTAGGGATAGGGGGCTGGATTCTCTGTTGAGCTGATGGAGGAGGGGGGAGCAAGTTGAAACAACCGAGTGGGCGCGCCAGGACTCCCCGGCTCCAGGCGGGGAGGGCAGAGGGAGCCCCTGCTCCGCGCAGGGAGGAGGCGGGGTTCGGGGACCCCGGGAACAGAGAGGAGGCGGGGGTGGCCGCGGGGACGGGGAAGTGGTCACCTCCGGGAGGCGAGAATTCGTTTGAATAGCACATTAATTGGAGATATCTGATTAATTCCAGCTTCTGATGACTATAAATGGCGATTCTCTACCAAGGTGTCTTTATTTAAAAAAAAAAAAAATCATTCCGTGTCATCCCCCACGTCAGGCCTGCTCGTGGGCGTGAGGCTGTACTTCCTCCGCCCCCTCCTAATGGAGTGAACCATTCCCAGCTCTTCCCCCCTCTCTCTCTCAGCCTCTCTCTCTCTCTCTTTCTCTCTCTCTCTTCCTCGCTCCCTCTCTTTCTCTCCTCCCTCTGCCTTCCCCGTGCATAAAGTCTCCGTCGCTCTTGGAACTTGTTGGCAATGCCTATTTTTCAGCTTTCCCCCGCGTTCTCTAAACTAACTATTTAAAGGTCTGCGGTCGCAAATGGTTTGACTAAACGTAGGATGGGACTTAAGTTGAACGGCAGATATATTTCACTGATCCTCGCGGTGCAAATAGGTAAGTGGCCGCCGGGCCGGGCTTGCGGATGGTGGCTGGCGGTAGCCGGCCAGGTCCGAGGCGCCGAGGGGGACCGGCTGGCCCGTGGCTGCCGGGGGGTGCGGAGAAGCCGGCAAACCCCCAAGGGTGGGGGCATCGGCTCCTAGGGACTCGCGCGTCCCGAGTTGGTTTTTCTTAAAAAAAAGAGAGAGAGAGACTCCAAACGTTCGCCAGGAAATGTATGCAGCTGGACGTTTCCAGGAGGGGGCTTTCCCCCCCTTTTTTCCCCCAAAGCGCACGTCCATTTTTGCTTCCCTTTCTCGGGTTAGACCAGGTTTTCTGCGCTCTGGGGCAATGCATTGGCCCCTGCGATACAGCAAGGTATTATTTTGAAGGGTCGAAAGGTGAATGCAGGAACAAGATGGCTAGGCAGCTAGAATGGAAAGTTTATGTGCAGAAAGCAAAGATATTTCGGGGCTCAGACTGCTGCATTTAGAACTTTGTCATTCTCCCGCCCCCTACCCCCCCATATCCTAGCTGCAGCGTTTGCACTGGGCACCGCAGACCCGGCTGGGGTGCAAATTGGGAATGATAGGGAACCCCAGAGTACATATTTAAATATGCTTATCATTGAGGAGGTTGAATTCAGCCAACTATACGTGGATATAATTTTCTATGAATATATGCCTGTTCCTTTCCACATAGGCATCCGAATTATTTATATAGAAAAGGGTTAAGAAGTGTTTGCAATATGTCACGTCCGGGGTTTGTAATTTTTGTTTGTTTGGGGTTAATTATGACGGATTTATTTAGTCCCCATTTTATGTTAAGGAATGTTGAGTCCTAGTTACACTGTTTTGGGGCTTTTAAAAGTTCACGTTTTTCCATACAGAATGAGGAAGACGTGATGAAAGGCAGCACTAGAAACCCCACTTCTTCGATGCAGGTTGGAGCATTAATTAACCTGACCTAAAAGTGAAAGTGAAGTAGATTATTAATAGAATGGACAAGAGAAAAAATAGAAACTCTTCAAAGGGGTTTTCTGGAGACCAAGGGAATTGTTGCCTCCTATCATTTCAGGTTGTAGCATTCTTTACAGACAAACCCTTGCAGTATTTGGATAGGAGGATGCTTTAGGGAATGGGGCAGCAGAAAATGCATAATATTTTTCTCCATGAGAAATGTGGAGGAAATAGGGTTTGGAGTTATCTGTACATTAAAATGGATTCTATGCAGTGTTGTTGGTGTTTTTTTTTTTTTTAATGCATTTGACATGATTTTGTGTATGTGATTTTTTTGCATGAACATTATGGGGATTTTAGACTGTGTGCAGGATGTTGGCGTTTTCCTTTAATTCTAAGAAATGACTTGATATTTTGAGTTTGGTTCTTTTGAATCTTTGACATTAGTGAAAAGAGATTCAATAAAATTAAAAAATTATAATTGCAGCAAATCCCTTAAATGTGGGAAGTAAGTGAATGTGGCATTTTGTAATTAGCCTGCAAATTTTTAGAGAGCAAGAGACAGCAGTTATTTTTGATATAGGGATTTTAAGTGGAGCAGGTCTGGGGTTCTGTTTTCCTGGAGGGAAATAACCTTACTTTGGAGGGGTGTTAAAAACCAGAGAAAGAGAGAGATTGTGCATGCCGGATAGCTTGGAACACATTAACCTCGACCGGAAAATGACCATTTGTTGGTTGTGGAATTGAAATTGAGCATGTTTGTTCCCGAATGTCTGCCCTTTCCCGCACGAGAGCCTCAATCTTTAATTCATAGCTGGGAGCTGTCCCAAATCATTGACATTTGGCAACAAAAGTGGGGGTTGGGAAGGGACGAGGATGGAGAGGGTGGTGAACGCAAATGAAGACACGCGGGAGGAAGTTTGAAATGAATGAGAGGTCGAACGAATGAATGAACGGATGGAAAAGGCACAAGACGCGGACACCGGAGAGGAGAGGGAAGGAGCCCAGGTCGCCCGCCCGAGCCTCGCTGAAGCCGGGTTCAGGAAGGACAGCGAGGGTCGCACGGGCTGTGACCTGCTCGGATGCATGAGCTTCAAAACACGTCCCGCGCGCAAGCTCCCGTCCTCCCACAGCGAACTAGAGACGAAGCAGTTATAGTTGCAAAAACAAAACAAAACAAAAACCTCAGAAATTTTCACGACTTCTTCTTTTACACACGCATTCACTCACACATGCGCGGTGTGGAGGGTCTTCTCCTCCAGCAGCGCCCGCAAAGATAACGTGACAGGAGCGCTTCCCGCCCCCGGCAAGCCCCAATTCCTCCTTTTCCCCCTTTAAAATATTGTCAGTGAGTCTTAGGAACTACTTTTTCGCCACTGAGTTTTGGGGGTGGGGGTAAAGGGTAAGGAGAGACGCGGAGCTGGGTGGGGGAGGGGAAGAGGGACTCTATTTTATTACTTCGTTTTGGCGCTGCAAAGCTGCATTTGTGGCATGCATTATGGAGGAGGGTGTGTAGTGTTCATTTCATTGTGACCGCATTGTAGTAGAACAAAGATTCGTTTATTCTACCTCAGTGTTCTATTTGATACTGCAGTCGCAAGGGCTTTTAATATTTCTCGGGGATGGGGGGGAGGGAGATTCATGAAGGTTTACGTATCTGCCCGAGCGGAGGTCGAAGTTAACCTTAGTCCCATCCCCGGCGCTTCCCGTTCCGGATTAGAAAGCGCAAGGCCCGCCTCGCTCTTCCTGCAGCAATTTGCAAACGGGGAGCTCTCTGAGGCTGCTGCAGGTTCGGTCACCTTCCCTCTTGTCTGCGTCTGGCCCGGCTCTCGGGGACCAGCGGCTGGGGGTGGTGGGGGCAGCGAGGTGTATGGTCCTCTTCGGAGAGATTCACATACAAGCCCTGGAGGCCAGAACACGGCCCAGGAAGGAGCCAGCGCTCTCGGTCGCGGGTACTGGAGGCCGATTTCCATTCTGAGAAGATTCGCCCCTTCCCTCTGCTCCCCTAGCCCCAACCGCGCGGATCAAAGGTTCTTGCGCCCCTCCTGGCCCCACGGCGTGCTTTTGGCCGAGCGCCAGGGAACGTTTAGCCTGTTTCTTTGGCCTTGGGGTGGAGAGAAATGGCCTTGGCAACGGCAGTCCGGCGCCGTGGGGTTTGACCGCCCGAGGCCAGGAGAGAGGACTTCGGTGCAGCTTGGGTTACCTCCCTCCTCCCTTTCCGCTCCTCCCCTGGTCCCGGCGGCTATCCCGCCCCGCCTCGCCCCCTGGAGGGAACCCGGAGCTAGAGGCCTAGAGCCCAGGGCGACGGCCACCTGGGCCCTTCAGGGTTGGGGCCTGTAGAGAAAAGGTCCCACCCGCCGCAGGCGGATTGGTGGCTGGCTTTTCGGGGTGTGTGGGGAGCTGAGCCGCTGACAGAGTTTCACGGATTTGGCCCCCGCGGAGGTAACCCGGGGTCACCCGTGCCAACACAGCCGTGACTCTGCCCGGCCCTGAGTGCCCCGACCACCCGTCACCCCCGCCCAGTCTCGGACACCAAGGCTGCTCTTTCGCCAGTGGGGTGGGGAGGCTGCGTGCGAGGATCGCGCTGGGAACACATACTCCACGGTAGGCAATCAGTTTCATAATGAAACAATCCATTTCGATGGCTGCTGCTGGCTTCCGGAGACTTTATTAATTTAGTCGTTCAGCAGTGTTTGCTGAGCACCCCGCCAAGCACCGGGAGCCGGCCCGAGGCTTTCTCGCACGACATGGCCTGAGGTTCAGCTGCGTGGCCCCTCGCTTTCCCGCCTCCTCACCCCTTCCTGGCCCCCGCACTCTGCTGTCGTTACTCCCTCTATCACCTCAGAAATGCAAGATCGCACTTCGAGAGCCAGCACGGACTTGCTGGGGAAGTGTTGGGAAACGAAGGAGGGAGTGAGGAGAAAGAGAGAAATAAAAGAGACGGGGGAGGTGAGAAGAGGGGGCGATGGAAACAGAAAAAGATGCAGAGCGAGATGCGGGAGGGGGCTGCAGGAAAGGAATGGACTCGCCTCCCCCTCCCGCACCGGCTCACACGCAGACGGTCGGCACAAGTCTGTAGTTGGGGGCGGGTCAGTCCCTCTTGGGCCACATCTTGCCTTCACCTTTAACACTGGGGGCCCGCGAGGCTGGGAGTCGCGTCCGGGGCTGGCGGGCTGCGGGGCTGCAGGGCAGGGTCGCGACGCTGCTGACCGGTGTCCCCTCCTCCCCGCAGCGTACCTGGTGCAGGCCGTGAGAGCAGCGGGCAAGTGCGATGCGGTCTTTAAGGGCTTTTCGGACTGTTTGCTCAAGCTGGGCGACAGCATGGCCAACTACCCGCAGGGCCTGGACGACAAGACGAACATCAAGACCGTGTGCACGTAAGTGTCCTCTTTGGCCTGCTGGGTTTCTGTTCTGGGGGGCGCTGCTGAGGTCGGTGAGGGCTTGCCTGCGGGCCTACGCTCTGAATTCCTCGCCAGCGCGAATCAGTGCGTGCTGGGCTTTGTACCCTCGCCCTCAGGCCTCGGCCAGGGTCTGCACTGCCCAAGGGGATCCTGTGGCCTGAGATGGGCAGAGGAGGATCCTCCCACGCGGGAGCCAGGTCCAGTCCTGCGCATCCTCACCCGCACCCACGGAGGCGCGGGCACTCAGCGTGCTGGAACCAGGAGTGAGGGGCAGAGAGAACTGCTAGCAGTTCCTCGCTCTACTTTGAGGCAGTCTTCATCATTCTTTTTTCTTTTTTTTTTTTTCTGCGTGAATAAGTGGACTGCTGTGTACTCTCCGAAGAACAGTTGGTTTTGGTTTGAGGAGCGTTTTAGGAAATACTAGGTTTGCATAAAGGAAAAGTCGAAGTCACTGGCTTGTTTTGTCCATTTCCCCTGATAAAATCCCCTTGCACTACACACCAAGAACATTCGGGGGTAGGCAAGGGAACGCGGGTCCCTCTTTCTCTTTCTAAGAGAGAGGTTGAAAGAATATTTTGTTTTGTGCCAATGATTTTTCCCAAGAAAAATATGTCCTGGGCATCCACTGACCATCTCTGCTGAGTTTGTGGCAGATTAGAGGCTTGGGATAGCCACCCCCCTTCCCCCCCTTCCTCTCTGCATTCTGCTTGGTATCCCTAGGCCATGGCAGCTAAGGGCTAGGAAGGAGTTCCTGGCCAGGTAGAGTGGCTTTTCCCAGAGCTTGGCTGAAAAGCACTGCTCCCACTAGCAAAGGAGGTAACTAGCAGAGAGCCCTACTGTAGTAGACCAGCGACATTTTAGCTGCTGCGGACCTTAGAAGTACCTCCATCCTCTGCAACACACACACACACACACAGACTTCTTTTATTTTACTTCATTTTATTTTTCACAAAGAGCTGCAACTCCCACCACTCACCCAGTAATGGCCCTTACCAAAAAGCCAAGGCCAGAGGTGTTCCTTGTTCCCCATAGGTTGATGAAACCATATTCTGCACCATCCTTTGTATACAGTGGAGTCCTTGTTCTCTCCCTGATTCCTGGGGAGGGGGCGTTTATTTGTTTAGATAATGAGTAATTAAATGGGGGTCAATTTTGCCACACACTTTCCTAAATACCCCGGTGTCCACCAAAAGCCACAGCAGTAGGTAGCTGGTACCTTCCTATCAGAAAAGGGACAAAAGGCTGGATCTGGGTTGCATATCCACCTACTTTAATTCCAAATGTCTGATGATAGGTAAGAATGTATCTATATGAAGCTTGACAAAAGGTTAGATATTGATCAGCTCCCAAATCTTCTATTATTTGCCAGAATTCAGCTATTCCAAGTTTTTTAAATTTTTTTAGCAGGACTTGGTCCTGGAGGATAGAAGTGAGGAGGACCCCGTGCCGCCCCCCCCCCCCAGAGGCTGCAGGCCCCTGCTGGGTCTGGGCTCCCACTTCATTAATGGTACTGTTGCTCAACATCCTGCTGAAGCCCATCGTCTCTCAGTTCCATGTGGATATCTGTCCTTTTTCACCATATTCCTCTTCCGGGAGGGTCCTGTCCCCATCTGGGCATGCATAAAGAAGGAAGAGATTTAGATATCCTTTGGGAGGTGCAGGGACAGCAGAGAGCTGTCCCTCCACCTCTTAGTTTCTCTAAATCTTGCTATTTATTATGAAATGAGGAACCTGGAAGCCCTGTGCTGCAGGCTTCCCAGTCCTCATAAGTTAGAGACTAACAAAGGTCGTTAGAAAAAAGCCAGAGCTCAAGGCAATCCAACAAGCATTTATATCTTTGCTATTAGCCAGAGGATGGGGTGGGTGTGGAAACAGGGATAAATCAAACATGGTGCTTGCCTTCAACGTACTTACAGTCCCGGCTAGCGAGCAGAAGGGAGAGGTAGGAGAAAATACAACCAGATTGCGTGGAGGGCGGTCGCTAGTGACCTGGCGCTAAAGGCCCGGGGGAAGTCAGAGCCAGCCCGGAGTTACCGAGACGCACAGATCGACCCAGCACCGAAAGGAGACAGCGCCCCAGGAATCGATCACGGGTTGGAATTATATTTAGTCTCGGGATCTATTTCGGGTTTTCGGAAGAAAGGGGGACAATAAAAAAGGACAGGTTGGTTGAAGGTTGTGGGGGCGGGGCTAGGAGCTGAGCCCAGGGGGAGGGAGTGGCTGAGGAAGAAGGCGCGGGGCTCCGGGAAGAGGCGAGGCAGCGAGGACTAGGAGCGGAGTCCCTGGAAGGCTGGCAGCGGTGGGCGCCGCGGTGGCACCGGAGTCCCGGCCTGGGGGGCTGCACACTACACCTGGAAGGCCATGGGGAGGAGGCTTCATGGGTTCCAAGTCCACGAAGGACTCTGGAGGGAGAGAAGAGGAGGGACCGAGCGCGCAGGGCCGGGAGCACTGAGATTTGCAAAGCAGAAGGTGGCTACAGAGCTGGCCCCAGGGCACCGACACTCACCGACTCGGGGAGGAGAGAGGCAGGCAGGAGTCTCCGGACCGAATCTGAGCCGGGGGGGGGGGGGGGAAGGGGCTGTGAAGAGCGAGGCCAGGGGCCACGGAGGGCCGAAGAGGAGGGGGAGAGGAGGAGGAAGAGGAAGTGAGGAACCGAACAGAGGAAAACCGAGGGGAGGGAAAAGGAGGAAGACAAAGAAGGGAAGAGGAAAGGATGGGAAAATTGGAGGACGGGAAACAAAAGGAAGGGAGGAGGGAGAGTGCGGGCAAAGGCGAGAGAGTACCGCAGCGAGGAGGGGGGTGGGACACGGAAGGGACGAGGGGGAGGAGAAAGTGAGAAGCCAAGAGGGGAGGGCCGTGCTCTGAGCAAGTAACCCATCTTGCAAGCTAAGAGGCATTAATGGGCGGCAGCTTGCAAGGCTTAGCACTGTTTTCCTAGCTTTCCCCGAGGAGGACGAGCAATCTGTTTGCGCAGACCGAGGTGCCAGCGCCGCGCAGCGGGTGCGGCCCGGCTCCCGACTGCCGGGCCCCCGCCCTGGAGCGGGAAAGAGAAACCAGACGCCGCCGGGGGCGGCCTCTGCCCTCGGACGACGGCTTCCAGGGAGGGCCGAGGTCTGGCGAGGGCCAACCTAGCTGGACCCCCGCGCCAGGCGGGTGGAGAGGAGGTGGGGGTGGCTACCGGAGAGGTTTGCGAAGGCCGCGGGGTGGGGGGGGGGGAGGCGCAGGGGTGCAGGCCCGGATCCTCCCCGCGCTCAAAGTCAACCTGCTTCTTCCGTTTTGTTCTGTTCCTCGCCAGATACTGGGAGGATTTCCACAGCTGCACGGTCACAGCCCTTACGGATTGCCAGGAAGGGGCGAAAGATATGTGGGATAAACTGAGAAAAGAATCCAAAAACCTCAACATCCAAGGCAGCTTATTCGAACTCTGCGGCAGCGGCAACGGGGCGGCGGGGTCCCTGCTCCCGGCGCTCCCCGTGCTCCTGGTGTCTCTCTCGGCAGCTTTAGCGACTTGGCTTTCCTTCTGAGCGCGGGGCCGGCTCCCCCCGCGCGCCCACCCACACTCACTCCATGCTCCCGGAAATCGAGAGGAAGATCCATTCGTTCTTTGGGGACGTTGTGATTCTCTGTGATGCTGAAAACACTCATGTAGGATTGTGGGAAATCCTGATTCTCCTTTTGATTTCGTTTGATTTCTTGTGTTTTATTTGCCAAATGTTACCAATCAGTGAGCAAGCAAGCACAGCCAAAATCGGACCTCAGCTTTAGTCCGTCTTCACACAAAAATAAGAAAACGGCAAACCCACCCCATTTTTTTTTATTTTTAATTTTTACTTTTGGCACAAGAATCTCAGGAACGGCCCTGGGCCACCTACTATATTAATCATGTTAATACATGACAAATGATGGGCTCCTCCTAATAAGAAAGAGAGGAGAAGGCCAGGGGAATGAATTCAAGAGAGATGTCCACGAGGAAAGCATATGGTGAATAACTCACGCTCACGTCTTTCTTCCACAGTATCTTGTTTTGATCATTTCCACTGCACATTTCTCCTCGAGGAAAGTGAAAGGACAGATTGTTGGCTTTGTGGTTTAAGGATAGGAGGGAGAGAGGGAAGGGATTGAGGAAATCTCGGGTGTCTAGGTAAAGGTTTCCAGAAGAATCGCTGCTAAAGTCACTGAGAGGTTAAGCTTTACCTGCTGTTGTCGATGCATCTTTCCAAGTCCACTGCCTTTATTTTCCCTCTTGTTTTAGCTGTTACACATACAGTAATACCTGAATATCCAACGGTATAGATCACAAGGGGGGGGTGTTAAATGTTAATCTAAAATATAGTTAAAAAAGATTTTGACATAAAAGAGCCTTGATTTTAAAAAAAAAGAGAGAGATGTAATTTAAAAAGTTTATTATAAATTAAATCAGCAAAAAAAGATTTGCTACAAAGTATAGAGAAGTATAAAATAAAAGTTATTGTTTGAAATGGGGGTGTCGTTTGTTTCCTGCCCCAAGCCTGCTTTCTTGGCCCAGTGCCCGGGTTACCCGTAGGGGCATGTGATGCCAGAGGATACATGCACCTGTTCGCAAGCCAGTTGATAACCTACCAACTTCAAGCAGACCCTCTTCAACTAGGTCATTTTGCCACTTTTCCGAAATTCTGTTTACTTAAAGAAAGAGGAAGTTGTATTTTTAATAAATAAAAAGCAGAGATCTTTTCTAGGTGAGGTTTCCGGGAATTGGGGTTTCGCGAGAAAACACACGCAGACCCAAGGCCAGTGCCCAGCCTGAGGCCCCCGTCCCAGGCGGGTCGGAGCCCTAACCAAGATCCGTGCAGGCCGACTCCTAACCACGATTCGCCTCTTCCTCTGCGGTGGCGGGAGGCAGCTTGCGAACGAACCGCCATTAAGGGCTCTAGCAGAGGGGCCAAGGAGAGGCTGTGGTCCCTGGCAGGGATCAGGTGAATCCTTTCATAATTAATAAGACAGCTCAGCTGAAATGGCTAGGAGACGGGGCCCCATTGATCTGGCAGTCAGCTGCTTCCACCTCTCCTATTTATAGGCTCCGCATGGCCTTACGGAGAAGTAAACATTCGAGAGTAAACACAAGCAGAGGAGACCGGGGTCCAAGGCCACAGGAATTGGAGCAGGCTTGGGGAGGGAGAACCGAGCGTCAGTCTCTGGGTTCAAGGAAATCGAAATCTGATTTCTAGGAGAAGGTGAGGGTGGGAGGGAGCTGCCGGAGGCGGGCGGTGTGGAGGACTGGTGGAGGGAGGCCCTGGAGGCTGCGGCGGGTTCCCGCGCCGGGGGAGCGAGTGGGCCGCCGCCCGGAGGGTACGCTGGGGCTCTGAAATGCAATGTGTAAACAATCGCTAGAGTAACAGTTCATAAATCAAACCCAGTAGGTCGCAGCCCAATCTGCATTCCCTCCACGGATTGAATTCTAGCAACACATGAGTCCCTGCGCCCCGAGCGCTAGAAGCTGCGGGGATTCTTAATGGCAGCATATATTACTGCGGCCAGTTCACGCACGCGCCGCGCCTGGTCACTCCTGGGAATAGTTTCACCCGCCACCCCCCTACCCCGCCCCTCCTCCGTCGATCCCCTATTCTCAGCCAAAAGCAAAGGAGATCCTCCCTGCCTGCGCGGAGTGGTCACCCACAGGGAACGTTGGTTGTTTTAGAAAATAGCGTTTGGTTTTGATCATTTCGTTTCAGTGGTTATTTTCGGTCCAAGTATAAGTAGGATGATTCTAACCCGAGCTCAATCCCTGGAATTCAAATTAAAATGTCTGAGCCTATTTTAAATACAAATCTATTTAATGAGGGGGAGGAGAACAGGGGAAAGAGGGAGGGTCTTCTATCATTTTTGCCTGGAGAGCTCGCCGCCTCCTGTTGGTATCTTTCCCAAGGAAACCTGGGGGCGAACCGGTGCACACAACTGGGCCCCTTGCTAGCCAAAGGAAAACGCACGCATCGCTCTCCCCAGGCTTTGGGGGAGGGAGACATCCGCGACAACGGAGGATGCCCCTCCCCTAGCAGCGCCGGTTTCCCACCTGGAAATCTGTCTCCTTCGAGATCTGGGAGGAGGCGAGGCTCAGGGAGGAGACCGAGGCGACGGGGCGGGGAGGATTGGGAACGCGGGCTCGTTTGCTCTCCCAACAAGGTTCTTCTCAAGGAACCCCGTCCTCCTGCGGCTCCAGCTGCCTCCCCAGAGGGAGGGCGCTCCACCGCCACGTCCTTCCACGCCCCCACTCCGCCCCGTCCCAGGTCGACCTGGGGGTGCCTCGAGAAAGCTTGGTACCCACCGTGTTGGGGGCTCCTTTGCCCTGACCTAAGCCGGCACCACCAGCACGTGCGCTCGGGAGGAGCCCCAGGATTGGGAACGGGAGTCTCAGAAACACAGGCTGCGGCATCTGGCTCGTCGGAGAACATTTCTTCTTGTTGTGGTGATTGTTTAGATTATTATCCCGCCGTCTTCGACTATAATTTGCTGTTTAATCATGATGACATCTCCATATGTTGTTGTTTTTAAGCAGCAACGCAGTAAGCCCTGTTCCCAGCTCAGGGAGATATTAACCAGGGAGCGCACACCCCTCACCCAGATAGGGGTGGGGAACCGAGTGGGTTTCGGGCGCCAAGGAAATGGTCATACCAACATCCACCTCTCCCAGCAGCATCCCTTGCTCTTGCACGGCCCATTGCCACGTGGCCCACCAGCGCTGGCTCTGAGCCTCTGAGAACTTGTTGGGATTGCAGCCCTCCTTCACTCTACTCCCTGCCCAAGTAGATACAAGACACAGAAGTTCACTTGAGTGCAATATTTGGTTATCCTCGTGAAAATCTCAGAGAGGTCAGCTCCAGAGCCCTTGGGAAGGGGAAGTACAGGGAACAAGGAGGCGGCAAGAGAAGGAGGACCTGGAAAATGGGGGTGCAGAAGAAGATGGGGAAAACATCCAGAAATAGAGTCAGCAGAGGGGAGAGAGGTGAGGCAAGCCTCTTAAACACAGAGATGATGGAAAAACTTCGAGCTGGAGATGGTAGAGTTGCGGAGGCATGAAGGATAGAATAGAAATTGGGACTGATTTTCGTTCAGGACTCTCAGAGAAGCAAATGCACACAAGGACCACCATGCAGATTCTCTTTATGTGGATCCAGAGATGGCTTCACTCCAGCTAGAGCTTCAAGGGTAGTGCCACAGTCATCACAGAGTCTCGAGCCTCTGGGCTAGGCAGGCCTGAGTGAGATGCGTGGCAGGCGAGAGCACCAGCCCCCTCCACACACCAGAGCGTGTCCCTGGAGAAATCAGATGGCTGAGAGGAGACGAAGCCTTTCCTCCTTTCCTCCTTTCCCCTTCTCCCCCTTCCCCCCTTCCTGAAATTCCTTCAGATCCAGGCAGAGCTGCTTCTGGGAAGGTCTCCAAACGTTCTCTCCCTCTCCCACTCCCCTGCACACACAAGGCTCTGTGCACGGCAGCTCCAGGCTGGGCGCCAGCAGTCCTGGAAGCATCCACTCTCTGGAACAGTCTACTGCCGGGTCCGTGGGACCAGAGAAAAGGTCCACTTGTCTCACTGCTCCAAAGCATTGCTTCCCTCCTCCCTTGCCCCTACTGGGAAAATAAACTGGGGACGGGGTCCTGAGGATGCCGGTTGTATGGCTGGAGCAAGAACCATGGTTCTCCGCCTGGCATGCCCTGCCCCCTCAAGTCACTACTGGTGGGGCATCGGGGAACTTTGTAAGGCTATAGTTTATTCCCTCCTCCCCCAGGGAGAAGAACAGTGTCTCCCAGTGACCTTTCCTTGATGTTGGGGCCCCGAACCTCAGCCACAAACCCCAAAGCGGGAATAAAGAAACCCTGCCCAGCCCTGCCCACTTGAGCCCCATGGAGTGAAGAGGAAGGGTAACATTCCCATCCAGATTCTCACCCTGGAAGGACATGACCTTTAGAGTGAGGACTTCAGAGCCAAAAGACCTGTTTCCAGCTGCATAATCTTGGGTGGGTTACTCAACTCCCATTTCCTCCTCTCTAAAATGGGGATAATCATACCTACCTCGTTGGCTTGCATTTTGTTTCCGATGAGATAACATAGGTAAAGTGTTTTCCCACTACATGCCTCTTACCTAATGTTAGGTATTATTTTTGCTTTCTCCTGCCTCTATACCAGCTTAATCCGATAAGTCTTGCTGAATTCTTCAAAATAACCCCTAGTAGAAAGCCTCATTATGATCCGTAATACTTTGGGGAAGTTTTTCTTCATAGTTCTAGCAGCTTAAGTTCCTCTTGCTGCAGGCTACTTAGCGCTCCACCCCACTCTGGCCTTCTCAGAGGATGCTCTAGTTAAGCTCCTTGAATTAAGTCAGCTGCTCCACACCCACTATGCCCTCAGACCCTCCAGCCACACCCCTCCAGCACTGGCTCTCACTGCCTGCCAACCCCCACCATGGAATCCGTACGTTCTCTGAGAACTGACCAAATTTACCATGGAGCTTCCTCGACAGTTTCCCTTCTTCCTCTTCTCTCTGCTATTTATATTATAATCACTTATTATAAATTAGTATTTATATTAAATTACTCTTCCCAAATGAAAACATAAAGTATTTATGTCACCATCAAAGCAATACATTGTTACATAGAATGAAAACAAAGTAACCCATCCTGCCCTGTTAATAGACAGATATGTATCCTTCCATACTTTTCCCCATGCTCTGAAAACATTGACATGAACCCATTCACAGGGTGGAGAGGTTTCTTTCTTTTCCTTTCTTTTCCTTCTTTTTCTCTCTTTCTTTCTTTCTTTCTTTCTTTCTTTCTTTTTTTCTTTCTTCCTTCCTTCCTTCCTTCCTTCCTTTGAAAGAGAGCGAGCATGCACAAGTGCCAGTGAGGAGGAGCAGATAATCTTTTTTTTTAAAGATTTTATTTATTTGAGAGAGAGAGCATGAGAGTGGGGTTAGGGGCAGAGGGAGAAGCAGACACCCCACTGAGCAGGGAGCCTGATGCGGGGCATGATCCTGGACGGGTATCATGACCCCAGTCATAGGCAGACAGCAGATGCTTAACTGACTGAGCCACCCAGGTGCCCCAGGGAGAGAGAATCTTCAGCAGGCTCCATGCTCAGCACAGAGCCTGATGTGGGGCTCAATCTCAGGACCCTGAGATCATGACCTGAGCCAAAATCAAGAGTCAGACGCTTAATCAACTGAACCACCCAGGTGCCCCAAGTTTTTTTTATCTTAACAAAATTATGATATATGTTTCTTTTGTACCAAATCCTTTCAGATCAATAACTAAACAAATAACTCCTTTTAAATAGTTACACAATATTTCTCAAATGGCCATACTACAATTTATTTAATTCTCTACCCATTGATGGACATTTAGGTTTCCCAGTTTTTTGTTGCCCTACAAATATTGTTATAATAATTATTCTTGTTCAAACAACCATATGTATCAGTATTTTTATTTCTTCAATAGAATAGATTCTGCCAAAGT